GGGCATTCGCTCCCTGCATAAAACGAAACCGTTCTGAATAATGCTTCAAACTGTTCAAATATACTCTATCTACTGAGTAGGATCAAACTACCACATGTAGCAACTAAACTGCTTATGCAGCTACCTACAATATATGATATAATTAGTCTCGTTCTGAGCAGGTGTTGATAAAGGTCATGTCTATGCCGGGTCAGACGTTCAGGCTTCACGATCCGTTGCATTTGCTTCATCAATGAAGTTGGACAGCTCTTGCGAGATGCCGAAGGGCTCCTCAGGCTCATCTGCAAGATCGTCCATGGGGTCATGCACCTTTTCGAGAGTGTCGACGACGTCCATGGGGGAACCAAGAGATGGAGCCTTCACCGGCGAAGCCAAATCCACAGCATCAAGCTGGATCTCCTCCCGGGCCTCTGCCTTGACTGTTGCCGCTCTGGCTTTCTTTTTGGGTGAAGGAGTGCCCAGGTCGATGACCTCGCTTGATAGTGTGGAGAAGGCCCTGCGAAATGGCCGGGGCTCTTCTTTGACCGCCGTAGCTGTGTTGACCGATGATGATGGCAGAGAAGATGCGCTGAAGCTGCCGGCGGTCCTGTGACTTGGCCCATGAAAAAGTTGACGGATAGCACCTGAATTGATGATGGTGGCCCGTGGTTGTGGCGGTGGGGTGCCAGTGAGGATCGCGTTCACGTAGTCAGCTTCCCATTTGAGATCTTCGTCAAATGTGGCAGGCTTTGCCTTGATGCCATCGCGGTAGTCGTTGTACCTACTTGCTGATCCAGGCTTCAAGAAGTCCACGTGCGATTCCATGACTAAGCCGGGCACGGAGATTTCTTCCGCCGTTGCTGAGCGGAACAACATGATGGTGCCAGCGTTCACCAGTATGTTGGCTCTCTTGAGCACGGCCATGATGTGAGGATTTTCCTGAGTCTGAGATGCGAGTTTGGGCTAGTACAGCGAAAAAACAAAATGATATTGTTTATTTGTTACCAAAAGAAACAATCAAGTATCGTAACAAACAAGTCCCAGTCACAGTGTCCTTCGGGAACATTGGCTTGATGACGTCCAAGAAGTCTTCGTGTTTCATGTGAACTGTGCATCCCGCCCGAATACGCTGGTGCTTCACAAGCCATGGCGTGAACTCGAAGTCATTGCACACGAACGGTCGCATTTGACCTTGAACAAACTTTGCCGCTCCCCAGCGTTCTTTTGTCATGGCAATACATCCAACGTCTGCGAAGCCCTTCATCTTCCGAACAGGTTCCGATGCAAGGCAACCATCGTCGTGTATGTCCGGCCGGTCCTTTCGACCAGCTTGACCTCGGAAGAAATCGAACTCGGTTGCCTCGCGAAATGATGGTGGGGTAGAGATGTTGAGGGTACGCTTCCAATGTCTTGAGATGCACATGGCTATGATCCGGGCCAGCGGGGTTTTGCCACTGCCGGGGCTGCCAATGAAGCCGTTGGAGTGCGTCTTCATGTGTTTGAGCATGTGACGAACAGCGAAGTCAAGGATAGAGTACTCGACGTCTGCCAGAGTAAAATGAAAGTCTTCAATGGGCAAGGCTAGTACACCATCGGTTTGCAGTGCTCGCAAAGATCTTTCAACCAGTGCTTGAGGCCACGCGTAGATGGGGGACTCGGGGTTCGTATTCAGGTTTTTGGTCATCCATTGAACACGCCTCCATTCAGTACCAAGTCGACCTGCTTCCTCCTCGATGAAAGCGAAGCCCTTGTCGACCGCCTCTTCGCTCAGATTGGACATGTAAGAACCACCTTTGGAGCTATCGGGACGGGGTTGGTGGCAAGGTAGCATATGGGTCAGCGCGTATTGACGACACTGCCATCCACCCAACTGCTCCAAGAACCATTGAAACCCTTTCCTGAAGTTTTGCGCATGGCCTTGCCACTTCAAGACATAAGGTGTTCCATAGCACAAAGACTCCAAACATGCCTTGGTGAGCTTCATGTCTGGGCAGTACATATGCTTCAGAACAGAGACGTTGTCATTGTCTTGAGGGATGACAACGAATTGTGTGATGAGCTTGACTTCCATCTCGCATTTCATGCAAAACGGTTCAGGTAACCGGTCCTTTCCCCAATGACCTGAGTTGATTGCGGTCTCAATGGCAGTCTTATCAGGCGGCGGCACGTTGTTGATGATGTCCACTATGTGCTTGGCGCTGTCACACCTGACGTCCTGCAGAGGAAGATCGAAGAAAGAAATTCCACCCCGTGCTTGATCTGACCAAGCTGGATAGGGCAGAGGCTTTGAGAGTGACATACCCTGAGTGGCTTGGATGCCAGCATCGATGGACACCTCGCCTTGACGACCCAGGCCTGCCATGGCGATGCAGTCTAAGCGGAAGTCCTGTCAGAATCGAGTTTTTTGGGCAGATACAGCTACTGAATAAAAAAGATTTGCAGTTTGACAGCAGCACAATCACGCTGCCAGGAGAAGCTTCGCAAGATACCAAGGTTTGTGAATGAGTGAGTCCGTGAATGTGTGGGTCAGTGAATTTGTCAGTCAGTGAGTCTGTGACTCAGTGAGTTCGTGAACAACTTAAACAGTTGCTCACAGAGTTGGCTTTTCCAACTTTTTCCATGAAATGCTTCTAAAAGTTAGTTTTTCCAACTTTTTCCATAATTTCCACGAATTTCTATACTATCTATAAAGAAATTGGTGGAAAAAGTTGGAAAAACCAACATTTCTGCTTGCAAGGGCTTCAAAAAGTTGGTTTTTCCAACTTTTTCCACCAAATGTTCCTAAAAGTTGGGTTTTCCAATTTTTTCCAAAATTTCCACGAATTTCCGTACTATGTATCAAGGAATTGGTGGAAAAAGTTGGAAAAAAACAACATTTTCGAATCCAAGTGTTTCAAAAAGTTGGTTTTTCCAATTTTTTTAGCTTTTCGGAGCATTTGGTGGAAAAAGTTGGAAAAACCAACATTTTTGATTCCAAGTGCTTCAAAAAGTTGGTTTTCCAACTTTTTCCACCAATTCATTGATACATAGTACGGAAATTCGTGGAAATTTTGGAAAAAGTTGGAAAAACCAACTTTTGGCAGCATTCGGTGGACAAAGTTGGAAAAACCAACATTTTTGATTCCAAGTGCTTCAAAAAGTTGTTTTTTCCAACTTTTTCCACCAATTCCTTGATACATAGTACGGAAATTCGTGGAAATTTTGGAAAAAGTTGGAAAAACCAACTTTTGGCAGCCTTCGGTGGACAAAGTTGGAAAAACCAACATTTCATACGTTTGCA